CCCTTGTTGTCTGGCACAAGCTGCATCCCCCCACCTTGATCTGCTCTTCTGGACCACTGTCTCCTGGCTCTGGGGCCCCTGGCTTCCTGTCACTCTCCTTCAGAGTTCAGATCCCCTTTCTGTCTCTTCCCAGGTCTCCTAGACCACTTTGGCAGCTACTGGTGACTGGACAGCTAAAGGCTATTTTCCAGATGGCAAAGTTTTGTTTTCACTCGTGTACCAGTATGACTCCACAAATATTTTATGAAAACTTTTTAGTGCCCTTCATTGTGCTTGTTTGACACAGATAACACTCACAATAGTCTCATGATTTTGTTCCTAGTTTGGTCCTATTTTTCAAAAGACGAAACAAAGGCTCTATGTGGCTAACTTGTCTGAGACTACACAGTAAGTGGCAGAGCCAAAACTGGAATACAGTTTTGTCCATTTAGAGCAAAAGAGAGGGACATACATTTAGTAGTAATCACTAAGATAAAACTCAGGGCATCATTTGCATGTTGGAAGATCAAGAAAGAGCTAGAAAACAGCTATGTCTCATTTCAAAGCAAGGCTTCTATTTCTCTGGCTTTTGCTGACTTGTACAGCCTCATTTTCTGAAAAACATATATCCGTCACTCAGGACAAGTCAGACCACATCAGTCTATCTCTAATCCTGTGCCTTTTCATGGGCTTATATCTCTGCCCGTCTCTTCTCTTCAACTGCTAACTTGTAGATGCCTGGCCAATTCCTATTCCTACTTCAAGGCCCAATAAAGAAATCATTTCCCCTGGGAAGTCTTTCTAACCTACACCAGGCTACACTTCATCATACACCACACTACTTACATCACAATGCTCACCACATTCATGCTCTCCCCCTTTCCCCCAACAACAAACCGCCAATAAAACATCAGTATCTTGAAGGTCTTTTCCATGGTGAGTTCTACTCTGTCATCCTGGACTCAGGAAATTCCTAGCCCAGTGCTTCTTAAATGACTGATTTGATCTTTAGGATGAGCTCTTATGGACAGATGCCCTTCCTGGAAGAAGATATAAACCACATCCTTACCCAAAGAGAGAAATGATTGAGACATGCTTCCTTTAATTGTGAAGAATCTGTGTCTAATGCAAGGGGCTCCAGTGTATGAAATCTGAACTTAAAGCAGTAAAACCACCTTTTCATTCTGAAAAGCACTATTCACGGTCACTAGGTCACCATGAGGTAGACCTTAGGAAAAATGATGATACAAAGGAAGAATCCAAAGGCCTCACTTCAAACACAAGGCAAGAGCACCCTAGCCTTCTTAGATATTTCTCAACATCCAGGGGTCCAGAGTCATTGCCCGAGACCACCCTTAGCTTGAAAAGCACAAGCCGTTCTTGTCTTCAGTTACTAAACACAATGACCGTTTCACTTGTGACAGCGTCATCTCAGTGAAAAGAAACCAGCTGGGTAAGAGAGTATTTCTGGATCCTTTGTCTCAGCTCTGAGAGCTAAGCCTTCATCCAGTCGGTCTCTTTTTGCTTTCTCCTCAAAGAGAAGGCTTTCAGATCAGACCTAGGATGACAGTACCTAGCAGCCCATGAAGGGCTCTTGGCATTAATCCTCCCCAATTTCCCTCTAAGCCCTGGCACATCTAGGGCTTGAGGCGTATGTGTTATCTTCATTAAGCATGAATGTTGAACCACTGGGTAATTTTTTTTTCTGGGCCTTCTGATAACTTTGTTTATAAAATGTGGTTTTAAGAAATACTACTCCTGGTCATTAATCTAACAGACCATACTGTGATCTGTAAGCTCCATTTTTCTTAAAGCTTTCATACTCTATTAAAAGGAAATTCTCACCAGAAAATTTCCTAAGGCAGAGGAGGTCACCTGAGGTTGAAACTGTAAAGTGTCCAATTATTTCTCAACTATTGGTTGCATATGATCTTTACCTCCGTCCTTGGAAATAAAGGCAATATACAGCAAATGTTCTACAAATGTTCACTTAGCAAATGTTTTGGAAAGGATAAGAGCATGTTGGGAATAAATCACATGGTTTTTAGTACATTTTAATGTTATTGACTGTTAACAGGCAGAGTGGCATGCCAGCTCATGAGAGAATACCCATATTCTAAGGAATTGATAGATTTCTGAATTGTTGAGCTTATGGTGTACCTGTTGTAAAGCTGAAAGGGCTGCCAGAACAGGATGCCATGTCTGGGGGAGCTGACTTAGGGGAAGCTGTGAATCATAGATTGTCTTTCCATTCTGACAATATCCAGGCCATTAGCCAACTCTGAGTAATGGTATTTGAGGTTTTTCATATAAGACTATCTAGTTTTCCACTTCAGGGGTTATATTAATTCTAAAACCAAGTAATCTAATTTAACCTTACTCAAACAGTAGTAGGTTCAAGATCTTTTGCCAAACTCTGTGGAAGAATAGAAGCATGCTTCAGAAGCTCATTCATTCCATTTCTATGAAATATCCAAGATAGGCAAATCTGTAGAGACAAAAATTAGATTAGTGGTTTTCTACATCTGGGAGGATGGGGTAATTGGAGAATGATTGGCTTAAAGGATGTGGGGTTTCTCTGGGGAGAGTAATAAAATGTTCTTAATTGTGGTGAGGGTTGCACAACTCTGTGTATATAGTAAAGCCCTGAACTGTACACTTTAGGTGGGCAAATTATATGGTATGTGAATTATAGTCAATAAAATTGCTTTAAGAACCACAAAAAAAAAAAACTTGCTCTTGAAAACAGAGAAAAGATGTTAATACTTTTAGGTGGATACATGAGAACTGAAGTCAGGTTCCACGGGGTCGGAGGGAGATCCACACAGCACACCTCCTTCTGGTTTTGGGCTTTCCTTTCCTCTGAAGCAGTCATCTTTTCTTGCAAGACATGTTTAAGTCTGGGAGGGTGGGAGAGACGGACTTACAGTAACAGGAAGAGAGAATCTAATAACTGACTAGAAATGACACCCACGGGGAGTTGGTGAAAGGTGTCCTGAGAGCAAAAGCCCCAGACCTGAACCTCTTGGTGGGGTCCTGGTGCTGGTCCTACTTCCTGAACAACTGGTCACAAGCAGTGTGACCGTGTCTTTTTCAAAGAGGGGATGAGACAGAGTGATGGTCTATCAGCTGAGACGTTTCTCCCACCACCTTAGCTTCTCCAGTCTAAAGACAATTTCTCCAGAAAAGAACCATTCCCCCACCCACAACACACAGTCCCCCGTGATCCTGGGGCAAATGGCTCTGGAGTCAGGGCTGTCCACAAAATAAAGAAACAAGGGCTACCCTTGAAGCAATTTATAAACCTAAATATTGCCCAATATACAAACAGCAGAAAACTTTTTTTTTTTTTCAGGCCAGGCAGGCTGCCATATAAATTGTTCAGACAGAATAATAAATTACATCACATGCCTAAAGGATTTATCTTTTATTCAGGGGGACTTATTTTATTTGAAAGAGTCATCATCATCTTCACTGTCTCCAAACCCCCTCTCTGCCACCATTTTGTTAGCTCTCCAATTTCCAATATTAAATCAAAAGCAAACTTAACAGCTGTATTTAATACAAATGATTCCAAATAACTTCTAATGTGATCATACTTTCCAAGCTTTTATAAGTATACAAGTGAGAAATTGCTTTTATATGTAGTATTAGACAGTCAAGAAGTGTTGTGTATAAGCATTTTGGAGAAAAGGTTCATCAAGAGGATATTCTGCATGAGTGTGACTCTGAGCTCCAGGTTTAGTCTGTTCTGTACCTGTGGACTTCTGCTTCCTCACTATGGCAATGCAGACCCAGCACTGTCTGATGCCGTTCTTGCCTGCATTTCTGTGGTGGAAACAAAGTCTGAGCTGAGTGCTGGTTTAAGGAGATGGTGGAGCATGGAGGCAGGAAGCCCTCTCTTCTCAGAAGTGCCTGCAGCTGGGTGACAGTTGTGCCAGAGTCATATTGGGGTCCTCTGGAGTTTCTGGATCAAACTAAGATGAGTGATATGGTGTCATTCCTGCTCTTCTGCTCCTCGTTTCCCTGGGAGAACCAAAGAGAAAAAGCTCTCTTTTCCACTGCATGCAACCATCCGCCTTCCATGACAAGGCAAGCATTGCCTTTGGGGAGCTGCCAGCTTTTGGTGGTGGAACTTGAACCCATGGCCTCCCGGGAAAAAGTAGTGAAGCTACCAGCTGAGTAACACAGACCTATTTCCCGAGTCAGTGACTGAACAGAGACAGAGGAATGTGAAGCATTTTCCCCTCCCCTCACCCAGTCTTGGAAAGGCTGCTGGCACAGACAGAGATGCCCTCCTCTGGGTGTAACTGCTGGGCCACTGCCAGGCCTGCTGAGGGCAGCACTGCTTGTCAGCTTGTTGGTGAGTGTCCTCACCATCAGTTTTCCTAACTTGAAAATAACTAGAACGAAGACTCCTTTTAAAAACCTGTTTTCCCCCCTTCTTTTCTTTCTCCCATCTTCTTACTAACAGCTGTCTTATTTTTCATTGGAGTCATGACTACGTGGCAGAATAGAAAATTTTACTCTTTCCTGGATTGTCATGCTTCTGCATCCCTTGGAAAGGATATGAATAAGCTTCCACTCAAGCATGGAGATGCAAGCATCAGAGAGGTCAGTGGAGAAAAAAAGATGGCAAAAAGAGTGGCTTAGACAGTAAAGAATCTACCTTCAATGCAAGACACCTGGGTTTGATCCCTGGGTTGGGAAGATTCCCTAAAGAATGGAATGGCAAGCCACTCCAGTATTCTTGCCTGGAGAATTCCATGGACACAGGAAACTGGTGGGGCTACAGTCCATGGGGTTGCAAAGAGTCAGACACGACCGAGTGACTAACACATGTGTGTGTGTGTGTGTGTGTGTGTGTGTGTGTGCGTGCACGAGCATGTTAGTCACTCTATTGTGTCTGACTCTTTGCAACCCCATGAACTGTAGCCCCACCAGTTTCATGTGTCCATGGAATTCTCCAGGCAAGAATACTGGAATGGCTTGCCATTCCCACTGACTCTAGTCTATGCGAAGCATGGGTGGTTCAGTGGTAGAATTCTCACCTGCCACGGGGGAGGCCTGGGTTCCATTCCTAGCCCATGCAGCCAGTTCCCCCCTTGGGGCTTCCCTCATAGCTTAGTTGGTAAAGAATCTGCCTGCAATGCAGGAGACTCTGGTTAGACCCCTGGGTTGGGAAGACTGCCTGGAGAAGGAATAGGCTACCCACTCCAGTATTCTGGCCTGGAGAATCCCATACTGTATAGTCCATGGGGTCTCAAAGAGACATGACTGAGCGACCTTCCCTTTCACTTTCACCTTCCACTTTTCTAGTCTATGATGGCAGTCACATAAAAATGGACAGTATATGAGTGAAGATTAGCAAGGATCATAAAGAACCAAAAGAGGATGTGGATATTTTCTGCGTTAAACTCTTTCTCATGTTTCTATAACAGTGTTTAAAAGTTGTCTCTTTTTAATGAGAAGGGAAAGGGAAATGTATTACAAATAATTAACCCACACAAAGCAGCCCTGCTTCTGTTAGTATCTTAAAAACTGGATATAAAGCTAATCTTCAATCTGCCTTTCCTTCTATTTCCCTCCATGTCTTGCCAGGCATGACTCTGACTCAAACATTCTGCAAGGAGTTTCCACTGCTCTCATGGGGCAAGGTGACAATTCCCAAGACTGCAGAGGGCACATCACTGGCAATCTTCCAGGAGGGATGTCAGAACCAAAGGGTCCTTCTCACACCTCAGTGACAGGGTTCTGAACCTTCAAAAGTTGGGCCAGGTACCCATATGTCCCCTTCAGTTGACTCCCAATCAGATGGGATAAGAAGGACTTCCTGACATGAATAACTGCCCTGGACATCCTGACCTCCAGACTAAGTGAAGTTGCATCTCAATAACTCCATCATCTGCCCCAATGTCTGTCTGCAGTTTACCTACGTCACCCTTAGAACACAGAGGTTAGGGTTGAGAATTGTGACTTTGGTTTAGCGAGCTCTGTTGGCAAGTTTGGCAGTCTGACTTACTTTTCTGAAATTGCTTGTCTTGCTCCTCTCTTGGTGCTCAGGCTCAACAGCCAGGGAAGGAAAGAATCCAATCCAGAACCCGTACAATGTACGTGCAGGTATAGCTGTTATTGTTAGTGTTATACATAGCTGCTATTGTTAATGTTATATATAGCCACCATGACAAAATGATTGGGCTCAGGTCTTGGTTCATTCATTTGTTGTTTTTGATTAATGACTTATCTCTGAGTAATCACTTTCCCTCTTTGTAACATGAGGGAAGTACTAGAGCCTTCTTCACATGGTTGATGTGAGGATGAAATGAAATGATCCTTGGAAAGTGTTCCCATGGTGCCCAGCACATGGTGAGAACTCAGTAAATGTTAGTAGTGATGTTGTTATCATCATCTTTATTATTTCACTCAGCATGACACCCTCTAAGTCCATTCATGTCACTGTAAATGGCTTTATTTCATTATTTTTAATGGCTGAGTAATACTGTATTGTATGTATTTACATGTGTGTGTGTGTGTATAAAAGAAGTTGTGGTATACACTTATAAGGAATGTTATCAAACATTCCTTAAACAACATTTATGTTGTTTCCATGTCTTGGCTATTGTAAACAGTGCTTCAGTGAGCATTGGGGTGCATGTATATTTTCAGGCCATGCTTTTCTCTGGATATATGTCCAGGAGTGGGATTGCAGGATCATATGGTAGCTCTGTTTTTAGCTTTATAAGGAATCTCCATACTGTTCTCCATAGTGGCTGTACTAATTTACATTCCCACCAACAGTGCAGGAGGGTTCCCTTCTCCCACACCCTCTCCAGCATTTGTTGTTTGTAGATTTTTTGATGATAGCCATTCTGACAAGTCTGAGGTGATATCTCATTGTAGATTTGATTTGCATTTCTCTAATAACAAAGCTATTTTGAACATTTTTTCATGTGCCAATTGACCATCTGTAAGTCCTCTTTAGAGAAATATCTACTTGGGCCTTCTGCCCATTCTTTGAGTGGGTTGCTTGCTTTGATTCTTTTAAGTATCATAATCTGTTCGTAAGTTTTGGAGACTAATCCTTTATCAGTCACATCACTTGCAAATATTTTCTCCTAATCTGAGGGTTGTCTCTTCATTTTGGTTATTTTTCCTTTGCTGTGCAAAAGTTTTTGAGTTTAAGTAGATTCTGTTTGTTTATTTTTTTCTTTTATTTTCATTACTCTGGGAGATGGATTAGAAAACATGTTGCTGTGACTTGTGTCAGAGAATGTTATGCCTATGTTTCCCCTTAAGAGTTTTATAGTGTCTGGTCTAACATTTAGGTCTTTAATCCATTTTGGACTTATTTTTGTGTCTGGAGTTAAGAAATGATCTAATTTCATTTTTTACATGTGGCTGCCCAGTTTTCCCAGCACTATTTGCTGAAGAGACTGTCTTTCCAACATCATGCACTCTTGCCTCCTTTGTCATAGATTAATTGACTATAGGTGCATGGGTTTAGTTCTAGGTTTTCTATTCTATTCCATTGATCTATATTTCTATCTTTATCCAGCACCATACTGTTTTGATGACTGTAGCTTTGTAGTTTACTGTGAAGTTAGGAAGCCTGTTCCTCCAGCTCCTTTTCTTTTTTAGATTTGTTTGGCTATTTGGGGTCTTTTGTGCCTCCATACAAATTCTGAGATTTTTTTTTGTTCTAGTTCTGTGAAAAACATCATTGGTAATTTGATAGGGATTGATTGCACTGAATTTGTGGATTGCCTTGGGTAGTATAGTTGTTTTAACAGTATTGATTCTTCCAATCCATGAACATGGTATATCTTGACATATGTTTATGTCTTCTTCAGTTTCTTTCATCAGCATTTATAGTTTTCAGAATATAGGCCTTTTGTGTCCTTAGGTAGGTTTATTCCTAGGTGTTTTATTCTTTTTGATACAATGCTAAATGCATCAAATTTACCATTTGAATTTCTTGAAATTTTCTTTCTAGTCTTTCATTGTGAGTATATAGAAATACAACAGACTTTTGTGTATTAATTTTGTAACTTACAACTTTACCAAATTCATTGATGGGTTCTAGTAGTTTTCTGGTAGCATCTGTAGTGTCTTCTATGTATTGTATCATGTCATCTGCAAACAGTGACAGTTTAACCTCTTTCCAGTCTGGATTCCCTTTACTTCTTTTCCTTCTCTGATTGCTCAAGCTAGGGCTTCTAAAACTATGTTGAATGAAAGTGGTGAGAGTGGACATCCCTGTCTTGTTCCTGATCTTAAAGGATTCCTGATCTTTCAGCTTTTCACACCATTGAGCACGATGCTAGCTGTAGGTTTGTCACATATGTCCTTTATCATTTTGAGGTATGAATCCTCTATGCCCACTTTGTGGAGAGTTTTTATCATAAATGGGTGCTTAATTTTGTTAAAAGCCTTTTTTGCATCTATAGAGATGATCACACGGTTTTTATTCTTCAACTTATTGATATGGTATGTCACATTGATTGATTTGTGAATGTTGAAAAATCCTTGCATTCCTGGGATGAATCACACTTGACCATCATGCATGATATTTTCAAAGTACTATTGAATACAGATTGCTAGTATTTTGTTGAGAATTTTTACATCTATGTTCATCAGTGATACTGACCTGTAATTTCTTTTTCTGTGGTATATTTGTCTGGTTCTGGTATCTCATTTTCTGTCATCCCTATCTACTACTGTCTTCAATCTTTCCCAGCTCAAGAGCACACAAAATATTCTCCAGAATTGATTACATCCTGGGCCACAAGGCAAGCCTTTGGTAAATTTAAGAAAATGAGATAGTTAGATGGCATCACTAACTCAACAGACATGAGTTTGAGCAAGCTCCAGGAGTTGGTGATGGGCATTGAAGCCTGGTGTGCTGCAGCCCATGGGGTCACAAAGAGTTGGACATGACTGAGCAACTGAACTAAACTGACTTGAGAAAAATGTGTATTCTCCTGCTTTTGAATGGGATGCTCTATAAATATCTATTAAGTCCAACTTATCTAAAGTGTCATTTAAGGCCTATGTTTTCTTATTAGGTTTTTGTCCCTGTGATCTGTCCATTAATGAAAGTGGTGTGTTAAAATCCCTCACTATTATTGTGTTACTGTTGATTTCTCCCTTTATGTTTATTAATATTTGCCTTATATATTGAGGTGAGCCTATGTTGGGTGCATATATATTTATAATTGCTATATCTTCTCCTTGGATTGAACTCTTGATCATTATGCAGTATCCTTGTTTGTCTCTTATAAACCGTCTTTGTTTTAAAATCTATTTTGCCTAATTATTGGAGTATTAGTATGCTCCAGCTTTCTTATTATTTCCATTTGCATAAAACACCTTCTCCCATTCTCTTACTTTCAGTCTGTAAGTGTCTGTAGATATAAAGTGAGTCTCTTGTAGACAGTGTATGTATGGGTCTTGTTTTTGTATCCACCCAGTCAGTCTATATCTTTTGACTGGTGCATTTAATCCATTACATTTAAGGTAATTATCAAGATGTATGAGCCTATTACCATTTTGTTAATTTTTTTGCTTTGTTTTTTGTAGATCTTTTCCTTCTATTGTATTTCCTGCCTAGAGAAGTCCTTTAGTATTTGTTGTACAACTGGTTTAGTGGTGCTGAATTCTCTCGCTTGTCTGAAAAGCTTTTGATTTCTCCATCAAATCTGAATGAGAGTCTTGCTGGGTATTCTTGATTGTAGGTTCTTCCCTTTTAACACTTGGAATATATCATGCCATCTCTTCTGGCCTGTAGAGTTTCTGTTGAGAAATCGGCTGATAATATTATAGGTTTTCCCTTATGTGTTATTTGTCTTTTTTCCCTTGTTGTTTTTAATAATTTATTAAAATTGTCTTTAACTTTTGTAAATTTGATTACCATGTGCCTCGGTGTGTTCCTCCCTGGATTTATCCTGCCTGGGACTCTGTGCTTCCTGGATATGGTTGACTGTTTCCTTTCCCATGATAGGGAAGTTTGCAGCTAGTATCTCTTCAACTATTTTCTTAGGTCCTTTTTCTCTTTCTTCTCCTCTGGGACCCCTATAATGTGAATATTGGTGT